TATTTTTAAAAAGAAATTATTACTGTAAAGCATTCCTTTTAATTTCATTTTGAACTTTTATAATTTTTTTGCCGTAAAAGATAGTTTAGAATAGTTTTTTTCTTCAAGATATTTTTATTTTCCCTTTTGCATAAAACAGCAAGTATTAATAACAAGCAAAAAATCACTTTTGGAAGCTTCAATATATTATGTTTCCTCAATAGATTTATAAATAAATCAAATAGTTAAGTAAAGTAAAATGTAGGGCTTGAGTGGAAACTGTTTAAAATTCGCCAAAAATGCTTACTCACCATTATTTTGAAAATATCTACTATTTTTTCATTAAAACTTGAGCGTTTACCTTAGGGTATATAAGCTGATTTGGGTGTATACTGTTTTAATAATCATTTTTCTAACATTGTTTTTAAATTGCTAATTGCGATCAAACTTGCCCCATTTCATGGGGCTACTGCGATCTTATAATTACACACTTTATAACTAATTAATCTGCTGCTACTAATAAAAAAAATCAAGCAAAATTTAAAATGGAACTAATTTTAGCCTAAAAATACAGTCATAAGTAAATAATATTTATAATAATTAATGCTATGGTCTACGAAATTCCAACGTCTTCCATTTAAAAAGATTTTTCTTGAATATAATGATGGCAAATGTTATATTTCACTATCTCATTTTTGATACAATAAATTTGATTTAAAATGATTGAGTTCCACGACATATAAACAATTTCAACAAATAAACAAGGCCTGATAAGCACAATGATGCTTTAAAGTGATGGTTAAATTAAATAAATTTTGTTAACTTTAATTGTAATTATACTAGCACTTTAAATAGTGAAGAAAATTACGACTTCTTCATCGGTAACTATATAAATATTATATCAGGGCTCCTATAGTTGTTAGAAAAAAAATTATTAGTGGTATTTTTAAAAAAAAGTAAGCTTCTGCTGGTATTAACACAGATTTATAACCGCTATTAGATTGATATTGATATGTCCACAGCTGGCCCATATGTGTCCAAATATAGGATAAAAGATAACGTACTTTTGGAATTAAAATTAACATAAAGATTTCATTCAGTAATCTAAATACAGTAAAATCTGTAATAACAATTCAGAGTAGCTGATGAAATAGTCTTTATAACGAGCTCGTTGTAATAAAAATACACATATCCAATGTTAAAATAGCAATCGAACAACTAAAAATTGAAATAGACTTAATTCATTCGCTTTTTTGAACAACTATTTTGATTTTTAATATATATATAGAGAGAGTAGACAGCTTAATCCTAAAGATTGTAGACTCTATTTGGTTGCTCCCTACTTTAAGAAAGGCATAAACATTACAACAAAAACATCTATTTAAACAACAAATTTTAAAATCATAACAGGTTTTTGCAAGAAGAAAATAACATGAAGTGCAATAACTTTTGACATTAATTATAACAGCTAATGTAGATTTTAATAGTTTGTTATCAAAAAGGAAAAGTAAGGGGACTTGATTAGCTATGCAGTCAACATAAAGCGCATTTAAGTTCTCAACTTGATATCTTGATATAGCGAAAGGTCTTTTTTTTTTTTTTTGTCAGGAAGATTACTTAGTCGCCTACGCATTGCATTAAATAAGAGGTGGTTGAAATAGTGAAAAGGAAACAGTGCTTGTTTTTTTTTTTTATGGAAACTAGAAATAAAAAAAATAATTTCTACTTAAACCACTTTCAGACAATATTACTCACTTAAATAAAAGAAACATGTTTACCTAGAAAAAAAACTGTAGTAATAGCAGAAGGCTATTACATTACAACAGTTGTATTTTTTAACTCTTTATAAACATACAACTTCCGATTCTTTAATATTAAACTTTTGACGATGATTTAAAAAATGTTCATATTAGTGGATTACTCGTAATAATCCATACTCCTTTTATCACAATTTAACGGTATTGCAAACATGGGGAAGTTCACATTTTTTTAACTTATCATATTAAGTTAAAATGTAACTTATAATATTGCTAAGTAAAGTAAATAACAATCATTAATCTGTGAAAATTAAATAATGATTAAAAGTTCATTTAAATATTCTCTCTTTGTCCATTTCTTAAGGTTGAGGTTAGTTAAATATGTAAGACATTACTTAATTAAAAACTTCTTCTGCTTCAAAAATATACGGATTGGAAATAATAGTCGACATGTTTCAAGTGCTCAAAAATAAGGGAACATTTACAAGACTCTCCAGATGTGAAGGGGGTTAGGGATGTTGTTAGGGAAGGTTTTTCTTGACATCCATTATCACTGAACTTGGCCAACATTTATAAATCTCTTAAGTGTAGTTTCTTTAAAATTATTTTTTTAAAAATAAAACAATGGCTAAATGTATAATTTTGAACCATTAATCCTAAAATATTTTTAAAAAAATAAATATCGGACAGTAAACAAAGAATTAAAAGAAAAAAAGAAATATAAAATATGAAACCAATAGCATTTAAAAAAAAGACACTATAATGAAGAACATTTATTCTGCGATAAATATTAAATCACACAAAGTAAAAAAATTTTAGTACAAAATATACAATTAAAAAATATTTATCTACATTTCGCAGGATAGATCATTACAAATTAATCACAGATTGGTGCACAACATAATTATAAATATTTCACAACCTTCTAACTATTCTAGTTAAGTACTATAAAACATCGTCCTTCATTTCAATATTTTTAATAATAAATATTATAACAATAACTCATTTTTTGTTTTTAAGTTATTTAATTATATTACATGTATGATACAAAAACAAATTTAAAGAATAAGAAAACTATAATACTGTTGGGCTAAATTACTTCTAGGTTGAACAATCTTGAACATAATTTAAAAAATGACTGATAAAAATCAGTAAAACTGTCGTCAAAATAAAAGCATTAAAAGCGAGGGTATAACAAAATGGAGTTATAAAACTAAAATATAAAGTAATAAGAAAACTTTAACCTTTATTTTTAAACAAAACATTTTAAGAAATGGTATATAATAGGAGTCTAATTATCCAGATTGATAGGACCTAGACCAAAATTAATGAGAAAAGTTATCAGGAAGAATAAGATATGCTTAAAACATATTTTTTTGCAATCAGGTTTTAGTTTAATCGTTTTTTTTTTAGATTGATGATAATTTGCACAATCACTTATATCTCATTCACAAATACTCTTCCTAAAAAAACTACTGTGTGATTTATTTTTCATTCTTAATTCTTATTATAACTCTTATATCTTAATATAATTTTTAAATAACTATTGTGCAATTTATTTTTCAATTCCTACTATTAGTTCCCATTCTCCCTACATATATTTATGTATCTTGCTCAAATTTTCAATCGTTAATAATATACTTCTTATTCATCCACTCGAGTAAATTTTTTTAAAACTTCTAGTGAATGACACTTGATGTTAATACAGGTTTTTAAAATATTAATTATGCAATTAATTTTGTAATTAGGTTTACAAATTTAATTATGTAATTAATTTTAGTTTTATATGGGAGTAAAAAATTTCACTTATATAAGATATTTAGCAGGATCTAACTATATGACTTATATCAATTTTATGCTGATGACAATGAAACCATTATGAAAATTAATGTGGGAAAACTTGATCCTACCATGTGATTTTCCAGATTTAGTTACATATAAATATAATTAAAGTAAAATTTTTCTTTATTGACCAAAATAGAAATTGACTTTCAAATTTTTTCTTAATATTACTTGTTTCTAACATCAATCTGGATAATTGGCAATTTCAATAACTGTAGTATTTTATCAAATATTAGTTAGGTAATTAATATATCACAATAATCATTGGTACAAAGAAAGTCATATAAATGCTAATAAAATTTTTAAACAAATCTAAAACACTGGGTTAAAAAAGCTTAAAAAAACTCCAGTTTCACAAATAAAATGCGTCAGAAGAACACTTGCATCAAATGCCACTGGTATCAAATATGAGAAAATGCAGCATGCACAATAAAAAGTAATCTCATACAGTAAAAACAAAAGAAAATTAACAGCAAAAATCACACAAATAATATACTGTGCATCTACAACTTTTGAAGCAAAAAATTACTTTTAATTAGAGCATGAAATGGAATTCTTTGTATATAGACTCTATTTATATATAATTCTTTTCACATAGACTTTTATATACTATAGTAAAGTCATATTATTAATATATTATAGCAAATATAATATATGTTATATACAATTATTTCTTTAGATTACAGATATTATATTATGCATATATTATAGATTTTAAACACAGAGTAGTAAATATTCTAGTAAAGTCCATGGCAATCTAACTATTTTTTGGATTAATATTGGCGAAAAGTGTGATTAAATTTATTCAAGGGTCTTATGTTTAAGCTTTTTCTAGCACTAATGGGTCATTGAATTTTTGGTTTTGTTAATAATTTTAATATTTTTATGCATGGCTTTTATTTGTTTCCCATTCATTCTAAAAATGCAAAAGATTCATTTTATATATAATATATATAATATATATCCATAATATATATATATATAATGAAGATAAAACAAAGGAAAATTACAGACAATGAAAAAAAAGGGGGAAATAATAATAAAAAAAACAAAAAACTGGGAGAATTTTTTTTTTTTAAAAATCCGAAAAAAAAAAAGAAAAAAGGATGAAATTTTTTTAAAAAATCTGGAAAATAAAAGATATGATCTTTTTTATCAGCCCACATGATTATATCCGCAAAAATGAGTGCTTTCTAATATTGTATCAATATAGCCAAAGCAAAATATATCAATGCAATAGTGTGAGGAGCACTCAAAAATTTTTTACAAAAATTACAACAAACAAAATAGAACACAATAAGTAAAAATAACACATAAAAACAGAAAATAAACTATAAAGAAAAAACAGAATAAAACTTAAAACATAATCTATAAAGCGATTAGCAAATATATATATATATATATATATATATATATATANAAAAAGCAGCAAAAAAAATTGAAATGTTAAAACAAAGCATTTAATGATTTGTGTAGCAAAAAAAATCGCAGTAGATGCACAGTCTAAATTAACAAAACTTCAAAAAAATAAACTAATCTAACAAACTATAATACATGACCAGATAAGCAGAACTCATAGCTTCAAAAGCAACGATCATGTCACATCACTCATCTCTAGCAGAACATTAATGGTTAGATCTTTGTTCCCCCTGTTACTTTCCATGATATCTCGTACAACAGATTCCTCTATGTTTGGAAACATGTCCATAACCTTAAAATAGAGAATATATATAGAGAAACATAAAAATAAAGGAAACTAAATTTGGATCATTAAAACAATTGACAAACCATTAGAAAAACATCCTTTTTGCCATTTTAGATATTTGGTAAAGTTTCTGATTTTTGTTTTAAATGCTTTTGTGCTTTTTTTAAAAATTAGATTCAGAGAAATTAGATTCGTTTTATTAGATTCAGATAGATAATGCTTGATAGCTTTTAGAACTTGAATTGATTTCAATAAAAAAAAAAAAGAATGTAATAAAATCATTAGGATAGTCACTTTTGCTAAGTAATTTAATACAATTATTGATTTATAAAATTTTTTTAAATTTACTTTTATTATTGTTTTAAGCTATAAAAACTGACACGCGGATTATAATAAAAACTGTCTTTATGTAGATTATACAAAAACAAAGATGCTTATCAAAAAAAAAAAAAAAAAAAAAAAAAAAAAAAAAANAAAAAAAAAAAAAAAAAAAAAAAAAAAAAAAAAAAAAAAAAAAAAAAAAACAGACAAATCTATAATATTAAATTACAATTGGTGCACAATTGCTTGATATAATTTTTTTCAGAAAAATCAATAGTAATACTTCATTACTACTATAACTTTAAGAAATTTTAATAAAATTTAGCAAAGGTTTTGAAGCAATAATTAATTAATTAAAAAAATATAATTTCATAGTTTGAAAAAATATCATTACAAAATTGTGTATATAAAGAGTAGCTTTTTCATACATTACATGCGCATGAAACATTGTAATTTTTTTTTCCATAATTATATAGTGAATTGGATTTAATAACTAATAAAAAAATTTTTTCTAATATTGTGAAAATTTAAAAAGGCTATATGAATTTTAGTAGTTTAAGTACTTTTTAAAAGGAAGCTCTGAGTGATAAGTGTTTTTCCATGTTTCTCATTTCGTATTATTAAACAAGATTTATTGAAAATGACACTGGCATGCCCTATAAAAGCATGTTTTTCTTTTTTGTTCCCTCACTCACTTTCTTTATACCATCAAATTTTGGTATAAAGGCGAATATTAAGGTATTAACTTTTGTTATAAAATTTGTCTTATGAAAAAATAAATTTGTGGGAAACCCCTTACCATTTAGAGCTTTTGCATTAGTTGCCAAATACAATTCACTACAAAGTTATGAAAAAATTGTATTAAATGTTTTCATATTTACTTTAAATGCTCATATCTTAAGAAATTTCTTTTGAATTTTAAAATGATAATTTTATTTTCTCAAAAAACTTTACTGAAAATTTTTAAAGTTCCAATTAGACAGACTAACAGAAATTAGTAGTTATTTTTTTGAGATTAGACACATAAATAGTTATCATATTACTTGTTTATAATCCTCTTCTGGTATAGGACAATCTGACTGTACATCAGGATACGGACCAAAGACTGCAGCATCATCCCTATTTGGCACAGTAGAGTCTACTAAATAGAAATACACATTAGAATCAATCATAATACAGTTTTACAAAATTACCTTGACAGAAAACTTAAACAAAAATATTTCACATAATTTAAATTTTAAAATAAAGTTAGTTCAAATTTGTTAACGTTGTAAAAAATAATTACATATAAGAAACAATTCTCAACAATATCTAAGTTAACCTTTTCTAAATAAATTCTTTAAAACTGCATAGAAATGTAATCAGTGCTGCTTGAACATTATGTTAAAGAAATAATAAGCTTGTAAGGAAAATTTTTTAAGGGTTTTTGACGCACTTGGAAATTTTGAGATATTTAATGAATTTGAAATATTTACATAAGTTTGTGCAAATATTTCAAGATTCTTAAACAAAATTTAAAAATATAATTAGTTATAATAATCATAATTATCAGACAATATTTCAGCTGACATTAATAATTGGCAACAGTAGATAATCAAATTATTATCAAAATGCTGATTCAAAACTACCAAAGGCTAAGATTACAAAAGATTAAGTACAAATAAAATAATAATTTGTTTTACAATAACATTTAGTTTTTTAAATGTTATGATAGAATATGTTTACTTCATAGAATTTATTTTAAAAGTATACTTCTAACAACAACAAAAAAGTTGTTGCTTTTTTACATTTTTTAATAATAATAATTTATCTACAAAACAATCTTTAAAATTAAATTTATAAGTAAAATTTGACTAAACAGATACTTTTGTAGATTACAAATACTTTAATAAACAGATTTACCATTTTTATAAAATTTCTTAATATATAAGAAAATTAAATTTATATTGAAAAAAATTAGTAAAGCCTTCATTAAAATCAATCATAAAAAGTGAATGTAAAATTTAAAAACAATAAATTTTGATCCCTTAATTAAGGCATACTTGTAGTTCCATCTTTGCCTTGAAAAGGTCCATAAGGAACAACACTCACTCTTGACTGGGGATGATAAATTAGCGTGCCTGACGGTATAACCTTCAAAGAAGCAATTAAACAAACATAAACATTTGGCATATATATATGGGTGAAAAAAATAAGTCTATTTGAATTTTTTCATGATTATTAAAAATCGATACAGGTACATAGATAAAAATATAATTTCATTAAAGAGTAAGGGCCATGGGAAAGAGGGTTTTTATATCTATTTATATGTAATAAAATTTTTTCTTTCCTTTAAAAAATTTATGTATTTAAAAATTAAAACAACTATTGTATTAATTACAGTAAAATTTACAATAACTATTGCATTGTATTGCTATATTTGTTATAATATTTACTTGTTATTTGTTAATAACTATTGTATTGATAATTTTTGTTTTCACTATACTATTATAATATTAAAAAAGCACTCATTTTTGCGGGTATAATTGTTTTGCTGACAACGAGGTTATATTTTTTCATTATTTACTACGAATTTTTTTATGATTATTATAAATCGATACAGGTACATAGATAAAAATATAATTTTATTAAAGAGTAAGGGCCATGGGAAAGAGGGTTTTTATATGTATTTATATATATAATACATTTTTTTCTTTTCTTTAAAAAATTTATGTATTTAAAAATTAAAACAACTCTTGTATTAATTACAGTAAAATTTACAATAACTATTGCATTGTATTGCTATATTTGCTACAATATTTACTTGTTATTTGTTAATAACTATTGTATTGATAATTTTTGTTTTCACTATACTATTATAATATTAAAAAAGCACTCCTCTTTGCGGGTATAATCGTTTTGCTGACAACGAGGTTATATCTTTTAATTATTTACTGGATTTTTAATTTCTAAAAGTGCTTTTAAAATAAATTTGTGATTTTAGATAATTTTTTTAATCTTATATAGATCAATGTAGTTGCAGCTTATGTAGAGTTAACAAAACTTTTTAATTTTCTGTGTAAATTTTTTAAAATTATTTTTTGTCTCTTTATAGTGTTATAAATATAAGCTGATGTACCCACAATGCTTACTAAGGAGCCTTTTGTTGGGTGTTCTACTCTATTTTTTTTATTGACCCATATTATGCAGTGGTTTCTTGTTAGTGTAGTTAAAAGATAAGGGCAATCTATGATTTTGAAAATAGTTTTTATTAAAAGGTGTCTTAATATCTCAAAATGACAAGAGTAAAAATTAATAAGAAAGTCTGTTGAAATCCATTAGAAAATCTGCTAAAATCCATTATGTGCATTCAATGAACTACAAAAGCATATTTTTAAGATATGTGATTCCTGTCAGAAATATGTGATACATTGTATTTGCATAAATTAAGATACATATTTTTGGTTGAATCCATTATAAACCAGTGAAGAAATATTGGGGGAAAAAAAGAAGCACTGGAAGAAAAAAAAACATGCGAGAAATAAAATGTGACTTGAAAAAAAATAACTAAATAATTCAATCTACCAATAAAAATGATAGAAAATCTCATTTAAAACTAAACAATAATTGTATGTGCCCATTTAAATTGTTCATATATAGAGCATTTTATTGCATATTGAAATGTTCTTACCTGGTATGTAATAATAAGGTTAATTAAACCTTCTTTATCTTCACCTAATTTGCCAGACAGCTCAATCCACTCATTGACTGTTTGACCTTGAAGAACAGACTGGGGGATTTGATAATTAGCCCAAGCTATTCTCTCATCCAAAGAAAATGCACACTGAAATAAAAACAAAAATAGCTTTCAGGTTAATTGCTTAAAAAAAATGGGGATTTATTAATAAAATATTTAAAAGCAACATGCAACATATCATGTTTAAATACCAATGGTAACTAAAAATTTTTTTTTCAAGCCTTAAAATAAAAATTTATCACGATTTCTACACATAATCTTTCAAAAACGTGTGCATTTAAAAATTTTCATTCATTTTAAAACAATTTGAAGTGAAGTGTTAAAAAATTGAAAATAAAACTAAATATAAAATACAACTGAATATAAAATAAAACTAAATATAATTAAAATAAGAGTATTAAACTATAAATTACTTAGCTACTAATGAAAAATAATTTAGAAGTTTCACGTCACTTTTACCAACATTTAGTCTTTTTTTATTTACTAGTTAATTTTTAACATTAAATAATATTTTAAACACGAATCCCTTTCATTATTTCCATAAAAAAAACTTTCCATGTAATTGAAATAAAACTTTGAAAAATATTTTTGATTTAAATCAAGAACATAAAAAAAAATCAAGTGATTTAAATGATGCCAACAATCATTGAATATCATGCTCGTTTTTCTATCACATTCAGATCTTTCAGAAATTTTAGAGATACTTATATTAATTCAATAATTATTTATAATTTGATAATTAATTTTGATTTATATTAATTCACTTTACTACGCTTAAATTTTAAATAGCAGCCAGGCTAAACTTAAAATAGATAACAGCTGATTGAAATAATTTGTAATTGTAACAATAATTAGGAAAGTTTTGATAAAATAAATCAGTAAATACAAAAGAAATGCTAGTTTCTTACCTCATCAAAAATTTCAATGTAAATGGTGGTGTCTTGCGACATGAAAAAACTGTACAAAAAGAGAAATTAATTTAAGAATAAATAATACTTTTTAAAGCATATATCTGAAATATACGCTGCACATTTAATCAAATTAATTTATATGTTGCATTACTGAAAAATTACAAATAAAATTAAACTTCAAAAATTGCTTAACTAACATCTAACAATTAGAAATTCAATTTTAGTTCAACAGCCTTAATTTTAAGCTCAGACATTAAAAAAAAACAAAAAAAAAAAACACTATGAATTGATTCTAAAACTTCTAAGAAAAATAATTAAAAGTTTATAAGTATTGCCAGATACTCTCAAACTGACTGACTGAATTCACAAATAAATTCTCAATTAATTTATTAAACTGAATAAATTAAATAAAACAATTTCAATAAGAGACAAAATTAAGAAACTTTTATTGTTCTTATAGGGAAATTATTAAAAAAAACTATAATTTCTTCTCCTTTTGTTGAACAGTACAATCATATGCCACACCAGTGTGAGAAGAGAAAAAGGTGAGTACTTTTAAATAAGTGTGGTGCAAACATAGTATAGTTAAACCTGTTATCTCAAACCTCTTTATCTCGAAAACCTCTATATCTCAAAATTTCTAAAATTCCTTACATTTACTGTCTGAAATCAATGTATTTTCGATGTAAATCTTGAAACTTTTTTTCAAAACCTCTGTTTCTCGAATTCCCTGTTTCTATAATAACACAAACACAATAGCGCAAATGCCCAAACAACACAACAAGCATAGAAGGTTAGATGTCAAAAACGTTTAAAAAGATAATTTTCAGTGTTAAAGGTTTGTTATAAAAATGTTATGTAAATAGATATAGGTGGTATAATTAATTTACATTAATACTTGTATTTTTCTACTAAAAACACAAGTATTAGTAGAAAAATACAAGTATCCACTTTTATTCAAGTATCATGTACTTGTTTATCCACCAAAAGTACACACTTTTAATACAATTTCTTAGATAAATTTAGTTTTTGAAAGTACCTGTATAACTCGAAACCTCTTTATCTCAAATTTTTTGCCTTTCCTGTGAGATTCGAGATAAACAGGTGCGACTGTATTAATTTTACTGCATTTATTTCTGAGAAAAATGTAACTAATGTCAATTAAACAATTGCTTTGGATATGTATTAATGTGGATTGAATAAAAAATAAATAGAATTAATACTGTGACTTACTCAAATTCATAAAATATAATATAAAATATGAAAGTCAACTTACATACAAATTATTAATTAGATACCAAAGTTAAGCATTCTTTTCTTACATATAAAAAGACTGCAGTGCACAAAGTAATAAGAACTTGAACTTTAATTTTATACATTGACCTACCAATTAAAATTCTTATTCCATCGGGGGTTTCTGGCACCATTGTAATCAGTATTAGTTTCATAAATAGTTTGCCCGACCCTTAATCTCACATATGGATCCATTCTTGTCAAGCCATAATTTTTATTTAGCTTAGCCTGAAAAAAAATAATAAAAAAGAGAAAGAATCAGAAATACACAAATCAAGGATTGCAAGTTTTTTCTGCAGTGGGAAAAAACATGAAAAAATCCGTTCATTGGAAGAAATTTGTTTCTTCAAAATCAAATGGAAAAAACACTTTTTGAAAAAGAAATTTAAAACAGTTTTTTTAAACAGCCTATATTAAACTATTTTAAATGACTGTATTAATATCTAAGCTATTTTAATAAATCATTTTTAATTAAAATACTAAATAGCGATAATTGGAAAATTTTTTTAATTAAAGAACATTTTGAATTAAACCATCTGCAGTTCTACAATATTTTACGTAAATAGGTATAATAAAACCTAATTTTTGAATTATATAAAGAACTGTGAAAATATTATAATCAATTTCCATTGATACTTCTAAATCAACAAGTTTTAATCTAAACATATAGAGAAGAGGACATCTTGAATAACTTTTCAATTTATTGGGCACATTTTCTCTGTGAGGTTTCATAAATTGGAATTTGATAGTTCAAATTTAGAGATTATTCATGGTTTAGCTATATGTAGCCTTACTGGCAAGATTCATAGTTCCAAAATTTTTTAGACTTTTTTTATAAAAAAAAGAAATTTATTTAATAATTTCAAATTACGAAATTTTTATGGTGATGAATTCAGAGGTCAAACATTTACTTATTATTTACAATAGATTTTGTAAGTTAAAATTTTTTAAGTTACTCAATTTTCTTCTGGTATCTTCTAACTGATTTAACCCTTTTGCGCTGATTGTCACCTGTACGTGCCAGCAAGAAATGAACTCACTTCCCAGCCGACACGCCGGCATGCAAGAGCTTTTTCTCATTCATCCCCCGCCATCACCCATTAGTGCCAGTGTCCTGGAACGTTTTAAAAAATTATATTTTTGCCAGAAGATGGCATTGTATGTCTATATGGTTTCAGATACATGTAGATTTGACCTTCTACAGTAAGCAGGTTTTTTTTCCCGCTACAGCGTTGGGTATTTCGATTTTCGGTCCAGTTTTTAGTGGAATATTAGAATTTTTTAATTTTTCATATGAAAAAAGAATTTCAAGTCCTATATTTAGTTTTCAGATATATAATGTTAAAAGTTATTAAATGGCAAGTACATAATGAAAATAAAATTTGCAAAATATATATTTAAACAATAAATGACTTAAGTAAATAAAATATCTTAGAAATATATATAAAGCATACGTAATTTAAATATTCTACAGAACATTATTAAACAACACGTTGATATTTCGGTTATTTCATGGACTTAGGCTTAACANGAAAAAAGAATTTTAAGTCCTATATTTAGTTTTCAGATATATAATGTTAAAAGTTATTAAATGGCAAGTAAAATGGAAATAAAATTAGTAAAATATATATTTAAACAAGAAATAACGAAAGTAAATAAAGTATCTAGAGAAATATATATAAAGCATATGTCATTTATATACTCTACAGAACATTATTAAACAACGCATTGATATTTCGGTAATATCATGGATTTAGGCTTAACAGCAAAAAACCCTCCGGCCCTGGACAAACACTCGTGAGAGAGACTGTCGGCCTCAGCGATAAGCGCGGGTTTGCGCATCCTGTCGCGAAAGGGTTAAATAATCATCAATTCCAATCAACAGTACACCAATCACTTCATAAAATTTTCAAATAGTGAATTATGGAGTCATCTTCTAAACTACTTCTGTAAAAAAATTATTAATAACATATCACAGTGTTTTCATATTCAAATTTATAAAAAAAAAAAAAAANTAAAAAAAAAAAAAAAACGCCTCATTTTGTTAAGAAAAAAAAAAATTTAGTTTCACAATTAAAATTTAGAAGATGGCTTATATCAAATCACTTGGTCAATGGTTAGTTACTAGCTGATTGAAACAGTAAAGCTTGCCATGAAAAAGTAAAACATACACTGAGGTAATTGAAAATTTCAAATGAGACAACATTTTAACATTAGACAAGAATAGAAAATGAAAAGACACTAAATGGAATACTATTTTTCAATACGGCACAATTTTATAGAACACCGAAGTTATCATCACGTCTGATTTATCAATTATCCTACACATTTTCTCTATATCTCAACATAAAAACATCATATTTGAAATTCCATCAATTTTAATTCCAAAATTTTATAAGACAAGAATAAAAATTGAAAAGACAATACAATACAGAAATGAGGCAAGATTCTTTAGAACACTGAAGTTAGCATCATGTCTGATTTATCGATTATCCTTCTACCTTTCTCTATAGCTCAACATAAACAATATCATGATTTCAATATCATCAATTCTCATTCCAACTTACTTCAATTACACTAATAGTAAGTCGGCCTGATATCGTCGATGCATGTTGAAGAGCGATTGCTGCTTGTTCATCCAAGGCTATTTGCTGTTCTTGAGTGAGGGATGATATCGTATTTGGAGTAACTCTTAAGAAATCCGATGGAAGTTCACCCAGCAAGACCTAGAATTTAAAAGGCACATTGATGACATAGGCTTGAACTATGCATACTCACCGAACATATATTTGCAATATTCACCTGTTTACGACGTTCTTCTCTTTTGCTAGCCATTGATTTATTATTAGGATCACAAGTGGCCATTTCAGTCAGTCAGTCACATGAATCGGTAGAATTTAATTAATAATAAACAATGAGTCACCATTTGTTTTTGTTTATACTATAAGTTCCAATGTGTTGCCGAATACTTTTATGAACTTTTATTGTACAATTTTATAAAGTATTTAATTAAATAAATGAAATTTTATATTTTATGGATCAAAATAACATTTATTCACATTCTTGCTATGTTCAAAAAAATATTTTTACGTTGATTTTTGAAATTGAGTTTTCAAGGTTATATTTATGTTGTTTAGTATGGCAATGATCACAATAATAGTCATATGACTCCAGCTTTCTTCGAAGTTGAAGGGTGTAGAGAAATTTGTTCTAAATTTTTCAAACATTAAATTGTTAAAATATTATATATTTTAAGTTTAATTATTGACTGATCAAAGATGTCTCTCAGCGATGCCGATGTTCAAAAACAAGTATGTTGTACATTTTATTCTCAAAATAGTTTAAACTTATCTCTAAAGATATTTGCGACTACAGGGATGGATGTAATATCACATAGGTTAAAATAATACAATAGAAAAAGAGAACTGGAGATAACTAATCGAATATATTCCAATAAGATTATTACAGTTCAGAGTTACTATCAAATGCAAAAATAATCTTAATATGATTTTGTAAATAATCTAATAAAAAGAGAATTGTATGTTAATTTTGCTGTGGTAGGCTAAATTAAACCAAACAATTTTTTTTTTAAATAAATAAAAAAAATTTCCTTTTCATGTATTAACAGCAGAAGAGAATCAAATTACAATAGCACCTTTTGTAGTGTACAGGTGTTTAATCAATTGTAATTAAAAGGTTTGATTTCTCTAAAGATAGCTTCTTGCTTTAAATATCTTTGTTTTGTTTATCAATGAATGGAAAGTTGTTAGTCTGCCTGCATTATATCACATCTTTTTTTCTTTTCCTTCTTAATTTTCCTCTTGGGCAAAAAAATGTAAAAAAACAATGGGTCGAAAAGAACAATTCAATTGCTAACAAGCACAAATCACTAAAATATGAAGAGTTTTGGAAAATAAAAGTTTTTGTTAGGATTTATTTTTTACAAAAATATTAATACTTTTCAACATATTTTAAGAAGAAAATTCAAATCTCAATTGCAGCAACAACTTGTATTCAAAGTGAAATTATTTTTTTAGATCAATTATTTATTAGAAATATTTTTATTCACTTATAAATTATACATAATTTATTACTATAAAAAGAAATATTTTATGAGACATTGGATGTAATCAGTTCATTTAAAAATGATCAACTATGTATAACTTTTTATATTTTCATGATGCTTTCTTTTAGAACTATGTTTGATGTAGTTTTCAGTTTCAAATAGCAGGGGTCTGTCCCGGCCAAATTTATTAGCGGTTAGGTACCTTCACAAATTCAACTTTAGGAGAAACGGTAGTTTCACAAAATACTTTTTCTTAAACTTTTATTTTTGTATCACGTAATAAACGATAAATCCATATTTTTTTGTTGATTTATTAATTTTCACAAATTATATCTAAATTTTCACATAATAGGTACCTCTCCGAAAAACTTAGATAGACCCCTGCATATAGTATCCTAACTTATAAAAGATTTTAATCTATTTGAAAATAGGGACAGAGACTAGCGTACTCCCTTCTTCTATCACTCTCCACACGCTAATGGTGAAAGCATGTGAAGTGTTGCCTCTATGCCACCTGTAGCCCATTTCGATCGCCAATAACTCTCACTTCACACAATGTTTATTAAATTGAAAGTGTTTTTTTTTTTAAAATAAATTAAAATGTAGAAGAAGGAAAGATGAAAAGAAAAAGTATCCAAGATAAAAAGGAAGAAGAAAAAGATCTGTGATATAGAGCAGGCTATTAATTTTTCGACTTCTATGAATATGCACACATATAACTTTCTATTTAATGATAGACAAAACAAAGATATTTCAAGCAAGAAAGAAGTTAAATTTTCAGGAATCAAGGCTCTTAATTGCAATTGATCAAACACCTGCACTTGGAAAAGGTGTTCCTGTAATTTGATTCTCTTCTGTTAATACAGGAAAAGGAAAAAAAAGTGTTTTATTTATTTTTTAAAAAAAGAAGTTTGGTTTAATTTAGCCTACAACAGCAATATTAAAATTCATTAATTCTGTTTTTTTAAATTTTTTTTAAAAATTTATTTTGCAATTAAAGTGAGAAATTGGGAGTCCTGTCTAAGATTTTTGGCATATTTGATGTGCTATAGTATGTAGCAGAATCATTGGCTATGTCTGACTTGTAGGAAAAATTTAAAAGTAGTACAGCTGAAAAAATACAGCCTTGTAGTTCTAAGAGATATAGTATTTACTTTAATTTTAAAACTCTTCTACAATAAATTATTGGAATTAGACAGAGTTGGGTAAAGTAATGTTTTTGTTCAAAGTTAAGCAGATGTGGTTAAGAATATGAATGCAGGTGAGTAAATGCTCAAATCCATTTAATTTAAATTGATTCAATGTTGCTAAAAGCTAATTTCATTATTTTTATTAGAAATAACTCATTTACTAAATTATTTGGTTCAAGCTTGACTTATTAAAGTATGTATTGTATATGTGTATTTGTATATAAGTTTATTATGTATAATAATAAGTTTATGATATTTATAATAATTTTATAAAGAGTCAGTTTCTATAATATTTTAAATGTTTATTAGATCAACCACATGATGGCCTTCATTGAGCAAGAAGCCAATGAAAAAGTTGAAGAAATTGATGCTAAGGTAATATTTTAATATTAGTGATGTTAGACTTTAAAGAGATATGTATCACAATTGATCCTTCTATTTATATGTACATACATACTATTATTTGTATTACTTTAGGCCGAAGAAGAGTTTAATATTGAAAAGGGTCGATTGGTGCAAGAGCAACGACTAAAAATCATGGAATATTATGATAAAAAAGAAAAGCAAGTTGAACTGCAACGAAAAATGTAAGAAATCTTTATAGTACTCGCTATTGATCTTCATGATGCGTTTTCTACTAAATCTTTCTTTTTGATAATTAATTTTCATAATGCGAAAAAAGCTTTACATAATGACAATATAATTTTGTTATAATATAATATTTAATTTGTTATAATAATATTATTATTATATTTTTCTTTGTATAGCTGCTTTAAATAAAATTTGAAAACTTATCGAAACTTTTGAAATGCTTAATCATTTTTCGTCACATAATTTTTCAGTATACCAATGGGGCATTTATCTATTAAAAAAATGTGACTTTTACTCTTATATAGTTAGTTTTCGGTTAGCATTTACCGGTGGATTTTATAAACTGTTAATTTAAATTTTTAGAGGCCATCTTTAAAAGATGCATTTTACAAATGTAGTTGATGTTTTTCTATATTGTATGACCTCTTTCATTTGTTTTTTAGTTATGGCACCTTTACGATATTTAAAAGTGTCTCAAACCTCAGTCATAAAATATTGTCTGTGCAAAGTCATAATACAACTGTTTTAAGTTGTTCAATTTAAAAATACTTCTAGATTTTTTTTTCCTTCATAATTTTATTTGAAGTTAAATCTTCTGAAATATCTCGTTTTATAAGTTTTTTCTTCTATATTTAAATTATATTTGGAAATTAATTTATTTCATTACACTAAACGAGCATTGATCTATTACCTAAGGACTAGTTCTATACTGGGAGATATGTGTCTTCTTTGGTTCATGTTCTTTGATTTTGGAAATTGTGTGTTTGTAGTATAAAATAGAAAAATTTTCTTGATTTGCATTTTTATTATCTCTGTATGCTTGGTCATTAAAATGTGTAAATTTCCATTTCAGCCAAAGTTCGAATATGTTAAATCAAGCAAGACTAAAAGTTTTAAAAGCAAGAGAAGATCATATTAGAGTAAGCAAATTATAGTTTTTTTTTTTTTTTCTTCTCATTTATATCACTTAATTATAATAACATTACCTGCATACTTTCACTCTTTCCGAGAATGGATTTTCAGAGTGGTTGTAAAACAATAAACGGAAAACAATCTGACTAAAAAATATATTTATATTTTGATCCCGTTGAAATTCGCTTACGTAAGGATTATTATGTTTTCATATATTTATTGTAGTTATTTATATGTAGTGGTGGTCAAACTCATTTATAATTATCATTATAATTCAAAAAGTTAATTGGAATAACCTGAGTATTGCCACCACTTTAAATATGAAAATAAAACCTTCCGGAAAATCCGGAAGAGTTGGCAGGTATGTAATAAACTCATCTCAGTTTTAAAAATATATAATGAATAATTCTAAGTTGATGTTACCATACTTAAATTACTTAATTTACTCAAATCAAAACCAAATATATGCCTCCACCTAACAGTGAAATATGAAAATTTGTTTTTCTGAAGTGTTCCCTTCCCCCCAAACTTCTTTGTGCATTTTTTAAATTTTTTATTCTGATATGAAACAAAAAATCATTATTCTCAATTTCTGCATTTAACTATCCAAAAATAGAAAGAAAGACTTTGAATTTTTATGCAAACATGAATTAAGTTTTTTTGTGTTCCACTTAAATATATATTAAAAATTATATTTTAGAGTTTGATTAAGAAAATTAAACTTTTTCATGTTGCATAAATAATTTTATTGCATTAACGCTGATAATTTTTCATAAATGAAGTAAGTAAGTCTAATTATAATTTAAATCACTAAAATCTGCCTAGGTATTTAAAAATGCTCAATTTACAAAAGGTAAAAGGTGGAGCCATAAGAAAATTTGATTAATGATAACATGATAATATAATATAAATTTGAAAATATTTAAAAGATTTTGGCTTCCCTATCTCTAATGTATTCATAAGAACAGATACTTCAATCACTTTTCTATCCTAATTAAAGGCACATTAGTATGCTTTCAAGTGTTTAGAAGTTTTTCTTTAAATGATGCAATTTAAAGTTATTTTACTTTTAAAGTAAAACTTATTGGTCAAGTATGTTAAATTGTGAAAAAAAGTGAGCTCGTTACGGCTATGCCTGCTCTGCCAAGTAGCCACTAGTGCATTGTTTTTCACCTGCCTGTCTGCGAACACCATTCATGGGTCTATAAGCATTATTACCTTAAATTTGTTGTTTACTCAATATTAAATACAAAAGACCGTGTTATCTCCTACTTATTAGCAGATGTATTTGTTCTTCATTCATTCCGTATTCTCTTATTTTTCTGGTACCTAAACATGGTTACATAATTTTTATTTTACTGCTTTTGTTATTTGAATAGTAAAATTAATACTTGTATAGAATGAATATAATTTTACCTATATTTAACTATGTTTTTGACTTGAAATATTTTTTCACTATAGAGAGTATAAATGATGGGGAAAAAAAGTTTGTTAAGTCACACTTTTGTAGGCGTAAAAATTATTTTAATAGTCCAAATTACTAAATTAACAAGTCTGCATTAAAACACTGAAATGTTCTACTGGTCTTTCGAGTGAATCAGGTTGGAATACTTCAATTTTAGTGTTCCGAAATTATGTCCAAATTTTTTTTTAAATAATGTTGTCCTGATTTTTTTTCCTTGAACTACTGCGAATGTTTTCCTGTATTTTTAAAAAATTTACTTTTTTAATTGGTAGCAACTAATCACTTGTGAAAGGTTTTAGTTTAATAAAAAATTAAGAGTTTTTAATAATATTTTAATGATAATTTGGTTGAGTTACTGAAATTTGCATGAAAACTAAAAATATTTAAATAATTGTCAAGGTGTTTTTATGGTGAGGTGGTACCCTATGTAAAATGTACTTTGGTGGTCTTTCATGTGTAGTTTTATCAGTGCCTAAATTTCAGATATGCTACTTTTCAAACATACAAAAATTTTATCTTTATTCTTAAAAGATAATCCACTGATTTGCTTTTGAATTGGTTTTGGAAGACTGAAACTAGAGAGCTTTAGCTGTGTTTCCCCGTATCTTACAGGCTTGCTTAGCCTTACCAGTTTTCTCTACTTTAACAGGAGCTCAATTTTCCCATGCTCCATGACTCTTTTAGTTTTCTAATAGTCATAGTTAATGTACTGTATATATTTCAAAAGTTAAATTACAGTGATATTTTATCTTTTTTAATAACTTCTCAATTTTTTCTTGTAATCTTATATCTTTAAGAAAATGTTTTTATATTTCCATTGTAATGTATAATACTAATCTTGAAATTCTAGACTGTGTTAGAGGAAGCTAAGAAGCAGTTGCATGGATTGACTCGTGACCAATCTCGTTATCAGGAAGTTATGAAGAATTTAGTTCTTCAGGTAATCTTCATGTTTTTTTGTTGTTGTTGTATTTTTTTTTTTTTCCTTTCATATTTCTACTATCTTCTTTAGCCTGATCATTTGTTAGTTATTTTAAAGGTAAAACTGTCATTAAGTCAGGTGATAAATAGTTAAAAATGAAGTTTTCTGCACAGTGATGGATCACCCATGTGATGGAAACTGGGTCTATTTTTAAGAATTGTGCAAGCGTTTCAACTGGAAATAATAAAAAAAAAAATTTAAAAATTTATTTTATATATATTTTAATGCTTCCTACATTAACACAAAATTAAGTTCAGAAGTCCGTATTAATTGTTAACATAATTGTTGTATTAATTGTTCCGTATTGCCTGATTTGTACAGTGCTTTTAAATAAATAAATTAATATGCATGCTGTGTTAAGATTATAGTTTATTTTAAAGTCTAGGATACAGGCATTTAAATAAAATATTGTATTATTGTAATGAAAAGAAACAAAATTCATAACAAAACAATTAGTTAAACAATATATGTATTTAACAATTTTATGAAATAACTCTTTTCGTCTATTAAATATTTGTCGTTAGTTTCAGAGCAATTTTAAAAAGAAAAATTGTAGGTTTTTCCATCATAGTTTTATGGTCTTTATTAACTCTTTTTTTTTCACCAATATTTGTTGAAAAAGGGACTAAAAACCTTCTATTGTCAGGAAATTTCACTTTTATTTTTTAAAATTATTTAATTAAAAAAGACATAATTTTATTTAAAATCTCAGAATTGCTTACGATAGATTTATGTGTTTTGATTTCTTTTTTTGTAATTTTGGCTCTGAAATTTTTTTATTTTAAATGACATTTGTTTTGAGGAGGATATCAGAGAAATTATTTAGAGCTTTGAATAAGCCTTGGTAATGTAGCAACACCTTTAGGATTTCTTATTTTGCATAGAAACATTTGTTTCCAACCGTGCAATCATACTATCTCATACTATTCATTAAAATCTTTTTCAAAAACTTCCACCAAAAAAATTGAATAAGTTTTTCTAGTCCTTCTGTGAAGTAAATTGACTTCTTTGTTTTGACTGAATCGTTTTTGACTTCAGCAGTAGATATTTCTTTCCTGTTTAACAACCTAATGTTATGCTGCCGTTGTATCAAAAATATAAGGAGATATTGTGCTAATTCTGTTTGTTAATTTGTAATTGTGGAAACAAGCTCAAGGTGCAGCCTATCAGCATGCTCCATCTCATTTTATTTCCTCCTGGTGCCAGTCATGTAAGGTGTGGGTCCACAATATTTGACCACAAAACAAAAAGGAGGTATTTGTCACCGCTGTTTGAATTTTTTTTAAACACGTTCACGGCGTGGTGACCCACCCGTGGGTCACGCTAGATTGTCTCATATGGCGGCACACCGGAGTAAAGACTGGTAACAAATAAATTTCATTTTTTAGTTTTTTCTGGGAATAATAAAAATCCATAACTACTAATGTTTTTAACGGATGCAATTTTTATATTGAATTGCTTCTTCGCCTTGATAAATTTCCTTACAGTTAATTGTTATTGTTGAGAATAGATTAACTCCTCCCGAATATTATCTAATATTGAAATATTTCTTCTACCAGTATTTTCTCTTTTCCTTTCCGCTTTCAGACGCAACACCTGGCGTGAACGTGTTCAAACATTGGATTTTTCATCTTCTAAATTTGACGGACATAGGTGTATGTGTGTATTTATATGTATATATACATACATACATACATACTCATACAAGGATATAGAAACCAAGAAATTTATTTTCTCATAATTTATTATTTTGGAATTTTTTTTCCCACATTTATCTGAATAAACTTGTAATAAGGTACTCTGAAAAAGGCTCAATTAGTTTGTAACTTAATGTTATATAGCTACGGTTAAAAAGGAGTTTCTCTAGCTTTTTTTCTTTTAACATTTCAGAGAGTATCAGGGTATCCAGTTCAAAAGGTTTTACTTCAGAGATCACATTTGGCTTACCATGGGATAGGTTTTGCATTCTATCTAATATATACATTATTTCTTGTTAAAATAAAAATTTTGTGATAAATTTTTTTATTTATTCATTTAATTTTTCAATTTTACACAAAGACGTACATTATATACCCTATTGGGCATGCAAAATTCTATCTATTCCTGATATATAAAAGTTTTGATTAGCTTAGTGTGAATTTTGTTTCATGAATTATAAATGCTTCATTGTAAAGTTCAGCTGTGGTTGGAATTTATGTTTTAAATTGTCTATACTCTTCACATGGAGAAATAACTTTTTTAATTCCAGGCTGTTTTTCAACTTCTTGAAAAGGAGGTGTCCGTTAAATGCCGCAAGCAAGATATACCAGTGGTTGAAAGTTCACTTAAAAGTATTTCAGATGCTTACCAGCAGCAAGTTGAGAAACCTATAAGAATTACCATTGATAAAGATAACTGTTTGCCTTCTGATTGGTAAGTTTTTTTTCTCTTCCTTCTTAAATAGGATTACCACTTTCTTTCCAGAAACAGGGAGAATTGGAAAAAATATGCAACCAATTAACAGTCAATTTTAACTTGGAATATGTTTCGTTGGATCTATTATTTAGTAGTCATTGAAACTCTATTATCTGAACAATCATTATATTATTAAGACATTAACAAGCAGTATTTATTTTATCTTGCCAGTGCTATTTTAATAAACTAAGTACGTAGCGTTTTTAAAAAGTGCTTAAAGGTGTTCATTTTTTTAAAAGTCTTTCTAGACCGATTTTGCCGAAAATTGCCATGTCTTGATATGTCAAAAAGTTATTATTGACAGGGCAAGTATTAAAAAAAGTTAAAACAATCAAAACTTAAACTGATAGTCACTATGTTCTGTGTGTGAAATTTGTATGGTATATTTAAAACATTAATTTTAATTAATATTAAATGATGCATACTAATATATAAATATGAATGTATAATTACTCCTTTAATGGCAGTTAGAGAACAACTCTCCCCACTGGACACGACAACAACAATGTATAATTAATAATTGTTTAAACCTTAAAAGCATGGAGCTCCTGAGAACAAAATTTACAGAAATTTTTTGCATCATATTGTTTGTAAAAGGCCAAGACTACTGCTCTGAGGGTTAAAGTAGAAATTATAATTTTGAGCAGATGAAACAAATTCTCATTTTATATTCCTATTTTCTTTTGTTTTATTTTATTTGAAAGCTCTCATCTTCTCAAGTGATATTAAAGTATATTAATTAATGCCTTTGCATAGTGAAAATATTTTTTTACTTAATCATATTACAGTATTTTGTTCTCTACTCTGCTTTTATTTTTATTAATTACGTAATGTCTTATAGTGCTGGCGGAGTTGAAATTTCAGCCCAACATGGGAAGCTTAAAATCAACAATACTTTAGAAAGCAGGCTGGACATGATAAGTCAACAGGTAATCATACTTTTTATTAATAGAAAGTTTTTATGAATTTATACATCAAATTATTATTATTATATATAAACAAACTAATGTTACTGCTTTTCTCTTCTAGCTGTTGCCAGAAATTCGTCAAACATTATTTGGATCAAACCCCAACAGAAAATTCAATGATTAAGATTGTGCTGCAGTTGGTTAAACTATTTCATCTCACTATACTCAAGAAACATTTTCTTTAATTTAACATTCCATTTAAATATGTGAGAGCTACTTAAATTAGCTTTTCAGTGGAATTTGTAATTTAATTTATTTGAAGTAATCAAGAACTCCTTATTTATGAAATCTGTCAAGGCTCCGGGTGTAGGCCTTCTTCATGAGGAAAAAGCATATATATTGTGTATAGAGACTTTTAGGATGTGGAATGTTTGGTGTATAATTGAGTCTAGTCTTTGTTATTTTATTAGAATTATATGTTAAACTTGTGTTTGCAATGAATTATATTAATATGAATTTTAATTGTAATAAAATGTTGTAGTTATTGTGAAACTTTTCATTCTTTCAATTATGCATGGCAATGTTTTTCTATATTGAAAATCATTTTAGCTTATTGATTTCAGGAACATTAAGGTATGAATGGGGTGTTTGATATTATGTAGCATACTAAAAATACTCTATAGGCATATGTAACATGTCAGATTTGATTGCTAAGCTTGTTTTAAATCCCTTAAAAAGAAAGCATCAGTTTTGCAGTGGTTGAAAGGGTGTTTTGATTGTATAATGCAAGAAACTCACTAAAGTGCATAAACTAATTTTTCTAGTTGTAGCAAAACTTGTGTTTTAATGTATGATTTTGCCCAGCGCTTACGCAATTTGGTACATTGCTTTTAAACTGTTTTGTCTACGATCACTTTCCATGATTTTGTAAATCATATTTAAATTATTTTGCCCACCTCTGTGTATGAATAATTTAAAAGCTAGTCTAAAAAGCCTTTCTTTAAAGTCAAAATTCTACAATTTATAGTTTTTTAAACTCTACTACTTAAAGAGTTTTTGATGAAAGTGGAGCAGTTGACATTCTTGATTTAAGTATAAAATTTATTTCCTGAGAATTGAGCATAATTAATCTTATTAGTCATTTCCTTTTTATTGGATCAAGAATCTACACAATGTTAAGTGTATTTGGAGTTACTAACATTGGAAACATTATCCTGAAGTTACATGAGATTTGAATGAAACACAGGCATTGACATACTAAAGAATTTTTTAAATTGTGCTTTGTTCATATGAAGCACAAAGTATATGTTATCCTTATTTAGATGTTATATGAAATATGTATATGTTGTTATTCTTTGTGCTTAGGCTTTTGCTGTTTTCTATTTTCAAAAAAAAATTCCGTCAAGTAATTTGTTTCTTTTTGCTTATTCCCTGGGATATACACGTAAGTTATTGTTTTAAATCCTTTACAGTTTTATGGGGGGGGGGGAGTCACATTTAAATCTAAACAAAATAGTGGTTTTAGCTATTATACTTAATTAGTAAAATTTAAACCATAATTATACCTGTAAATATAATTAATTATGCATTTTACGTTCAGTTATTTTGTTAACTAGTAATTCAGTTACAAAATCTGACATGTACGCACATACAGTCTGAATAAACTTACCTTTATTTAGATAGATTCAGATTTTTGACCATGAAAATATAGAGATAAACAAAATCTGGAAAATGTATCAATTTTTGCCAGAAGCACTGTCAAAAAGGTGGGCATCTTAATGTAAATTTCTTTTTTTGCATATTTAACCAGGTTGTGGGAAGTTTTAAGCGAATATGGAAATTTTTGACAATCATGAAATTTGTCGATGTAAATATCTGTTTTTTTATTATTTTGTCTCGCAAGTTAAATTACAAAAAACTACTTTAACAGCTAACAAAAGATATTGAATTGTTAGGTATAAAATTTTTTGCACCATATTAAACTATGTAATGTTAAATGATAATATGCAAAATTTGAGCTATGTCTGTTGAATAGTTTTAGTTATAAAGTTTCAGTTAAGCCATGAAGTATTTAATATTGTGTTTACATGAAATTATCTTTGGGTTAACTAAATTTATAATTGTGTGCAGAAAGGGAAATTAGAATTATTCGACCCTATTTGTAGATTGGGATTACCCTTTACTATTTTATGTGTTAAGAACCATATCTGTTGAGAAAATAGTTATATCTATTCAGAAAAAGTACATTCTTATGTCTGATTCTGTAACAGTTAATAGTAAACAGTGATTAATCAGCTTATTTGTTGTTAACCTTCTGAACCATTAAGATTGGTTTTAAGTAAGTGACTATTAGAACAAAAATTATTTAGGTAATCAATTTTATTTTGTGCATTGTACATGACATCCTGAGAGGTAATATCAAAAATTTTTTTACGGAAATTTAATTAAGCTTAATCTGCACCATCTGGCCCTAATTTTTGAGATAAAAATTTTGTATCCCTGATTTCAGGGCTGATTGTGCTCCGGAAAAATTCCGGATTTTTCGCTAACAGTTATCCGGAAGTTTCCGGAGATCGTAGGTCCAGACTTTTCAAAAAATCATTGATCACAGAAGTTTCCGGCGATCAAATTTTCAAAGGTTGAACATAAAAAAAACAGTTTATTTTATTTGTTTGTAAGGGAGAGCCAGAGAGATATTTTATAAGCTTATATTCATGATTAATATTAATTTTTTATCAGTAAATAGTTGTTATAATCATAAACTCAAGAAAGAAAGAAATATTTGCAACTTTTAATTACTTCTCCAGGTCATCACAGGTATGTGTAAAATTTTAAATATGTTTTAAATTAACTAAGAAAAAAAACCTTGTTTAAATTTTTTTCAATTTAAACTTATTTTTTCTTTCTTTTCTTTTTTTACTCGAGAAATTTTCCGGAATTTTGACTTAGGCCCACAATCACCCCTGCTGATTTTCTATGTAAAAAAAAAAAAAAGGAAAAAACCATGAAGAGATAGAATAACATGGTGTTTGACATGGAGTTAATTTTAATCTTTAGTAATTTCTCTGCTTATTATTCATTATCTACGCTTATTTTTGAATTCTTAATATTCAACTTTAAAATAAATATTTATTATACTAATAATAATGTACTTATACTAATTATAATATATTTATACTAATAATAATGTACTTATACTTAAAATATACTTGTACTACAAAAAAAAGGGAATTTTCATATTTAAACTAAGACTAAACAAACTTCATAAACTTAATTAAAATGTTTAAATCATTTGAATGTATGTACCACAATGTTTAATAAAATTAACTTCTAAAAAAAAAGCCTTAAAATAAACTTCAAAAATATAACTTTTTTAATATACTAATGAGGTACTCATAATGGTTATTTCTCTAAAGTTATACATTGTGGTTTATTTTAATATTTATATATTATAAACTATTATATTAAAGTACGAAAGTTTAACACAAATGTTCTAAAATAAATTTATAAAAAATTTCAATTCGAAACAATATTACCAAATGATGTCAGACAAAATATGTAAAATTAAGGATGCAACATGATTAAAGATTTTTTTGCCCTCAGGGGGTTTACCTTTATCTGAGGTAAACACGGGTTTCACGACCCCGAGGTCCCCAGTGATTTTTTTTCCCTGGTAATTGGTTTTACTCCTCTATGACTTGATGCTACAACTAGTAAAAATAAATTAAAATTTGTCTAATTTATAAGCTTCTACTTTTCACGACTCAAATCACGTATTATCATTAACTTATGTAAAAGTAGAATTATAGATGCTTTTTAACATTGCTGCCTGAAACAGAAAATTGGGGCTCCAGAGAGCAAGGCACACCGACCAGAGGTCTATTGTACCCAAACCCTAAATCATGATTAGCAAGAAAGCCTTACGACTGAAGTAAAGTTCCCCAGACATCTTACAGGAACATCAGTCCCCAGGTCTTAATGCAGTGTTACCCTAAATGATCAAATCTTTGAGCCGAATAGACCTCATGATCACATTATTTGTCGTGAAGTCTCTTCAAGATCATTCATGAGTTCAGAGACTGTCTTGCCATGCTTGCTTCTGACAACAATTACTCCGTCATCAGCATACCCAAAACAGGGGATGCCTTGATCAGTTAACCGAACTAACAAAGAGTCAATAATATACCATGGGATAGGGGAGAAAACCCCTCCATCCGGGCATCCTGAGGTTGGGTAGCATGTACTTTGATGCTTATGCCCATTAAAGAGGAACAAACGTACATGGAGGATAACAAATTTTCTAACCACCTCATGATTATCGAATTTATATCTCTGTTTTTATTAAGTGCTTTGATAATGTAGTTTCAACAACGACTTTATCAAAAGCACCCTAGATATCAATAAATACCACCATCATACTCTTTGAGGTAGTTTTTTCAAGCATGTAAGAGAACTTATATAGTGCCGAGTCCGTTGACTTGCCAGGTTGATAAGCATACTGGGTAGAAGACTGGCTTATCTATGAGTACAAAGTCTAAATATCTGTCAATGAACTTTTCAATAGCTTTCAACCGACATGAAGTAAGGTTTATTGGTCTAAATGATTTAGCCTCAAAGTAATTTTATTTACTTGGTTTTGGAATGAAAATTACCCTGGTAATCATAATGAGCATTATTGGCATGTCACCCATATCTGGTGACTTGTAGGGTTTAAATGATTTGATAGCCCATACAACTTTTTCATAGATCACCATCTTGAAAATTTTTAAGTTCTTCAATAGAAAAGGAAGATAATTCGTTTATCACAATTTAAAGTGGTTGTCATGTGTAATGATGGATAAATTGAGGAAAGGCCTTGTTGCTGCCATTTGTACGTGGGTTTCATATGTAATATGTATTTTCCCCTTAGCTATGCTCTATTATCCAACGAAAGTCGTACCTTCTTGACTTAATGATCATCGAGCTTGGTTTGTCCAAGTGTCTGTAGATAAAACAAGAACATATCTGAATGTAAATGTTGCTCACAGACCTACTATAATATACTCATAATTCTAAAATAAAAATTTATTGGAAATGGTGTATAGAAATTTTTTACTTACAATGAGATAAGATGTTTTTCTGAATTTAATATTTATTCCTCAGTTGATGTATCCCAGTTTATAATGTGTACTATTTTTTTTCCTCGACTATTAGACCATTTACAATGGATGCGATTTTTTTTGCATGCGAAATAGAACTATGTCGAAAATATTTTTTCGTGAAAAATTTGCCATCAGTTTTCGTTTGCATGACTTTTCAGGCGGCAAATCCATCTCAACGAAAACGGAAGTGCGTGAATCGCAATCAGTAAGAACGATCCTTTAGTTGTTCGTACATAGCAGAAATAAGTAGTTTTTTGCCTTGATACTTCCATTGTAAGCTCGAAGCTTAGAGCTCTTTTTTTTTTCTTCCCCCATCTTCGTATTGCTTGTTATTGACTTGTGTTATTTGTTCGTTACTATTATTTCACTCTAATTTTCTTCGATTAAATCGGAAAAAGAGATAAAACTCTTAATTTTTAAGTGCTAAAAATGTTTGGGACGATTGTAAAACCGTAATAATCATATATTACCTTAAAGTAAAAACTATGGAAGAAAATTGTTTGGAAGGTGGGCAGGAAGAATGCTATGAGTTTTACGAAGAGCGATCTAAAGTTATTAAAAAGGAAGAACGTGATGAGTGTTATGTTTGTGGTGAACAGTGTATTCCTAAAGACCTTTGGATGCATATTATGTCTCATGTTGAGCCACAAATATACCAGTGTGAGGAATGTGGTAGTCGTTTCGGTAACGTTGCATTACTTCGTCGACATTACGAAACACATACAAAACCTTATGAATGTCAGTTTTGCAGTATGACGTTTGGTCACAAAAGTAATTTAAGGAGACATTTGCTGAGTCATACTAAAGAGAAACGTCATGTATGTGATATATGTCAGAAAGCATTTGGTGTGAAGAGTGATTTACGTAGACACTACCGCATTCACACGAATGAAAAGCCTTACGTGTGTCAGATTTGTAACAAGGGATTCAACCAAAGTGCCAATTACAAGAAACACTGTCAAACTCATTATAAAAAGAAAAAGTTTAAGCAAAATGGCGACAGTTCAGATGTTGATGATCCAGATTCAACCTTTCCTGAAAATCCTTACGTCTGCGCTCAGTGTTTCAAAAGCTTTCCTGAGAAAAGGAACTTACAACGTCATTTAATGACACATACCAAAGAAAAACCACACGTTTGTAATATTTGTGATAGAGCATTTGCTCAGAAAGCTCATCTTAAAACTCACAGTTTGATTCACTCACAAGAAAAGCCATTTAAGTGTGAGGAGTGTGGCAAGTGCTTTTTAGACAAGTGGCGCCTTTATCAACATTCTATGATACATAAGGATGATCGTCCTCATCGCTGCAGTGTCTGTGATAAAGGATTTTTATTTAAATCTGTACTTGATCGACATTTTGTAACTCACACTAAGCAAAGGCATCATATTTGTGATATATGCCATAAAGGTTTTACTCAGACTGGTGCTTTAACTAGACATTACATGATGCATGCAAAGATAAAGCCAAAAATAGATAATGTTTCTCGCAGCATTGTGTCTGGTTCTTGACATGCTCTTTCAAAATGATATACAATATAGGTAAAATATAAAATTGTGCCAGGAACTGAATGTTAATATAGAGTATATTTTGTTATCCATAATATAAATGAGTTATGTTTTGTAATTTTCAATTATTTGTTATTAATCAAGCATTAAAATATTTTATTTGCTTTAAAGTTACTTCAGAAAGATAATTTCATGTAAGGAAGTTAAATTTCAATGTAATTAATATGATATAAGGTTTTATTAATCTTAGATCAATTTGAGCAAAGGTACTGTAAAATTTTAAAAACAATTGATTCATTAATGTGTTTCATTCAGGGTTGATCAGGTGAAATCTTAGTTTTTTTTTTTGTTGATAAACTTAAACTAAAATTTAAGGCTTTTCGCTAAATTTGTTTTCTTTTAAACTAAGTATACATAAAAAAATATTATTGCATTATTTATACTAAAAGAACTAATAATATAGATTTCAGAATTATTTTATTGAAATATAAATTTTTTTTAAATCATATATTATTAGGGTTCCACTTAAGGTATTAGGGCCAAATCTAAAGAGTATTTCTATATTTTTTTGAAAACCTTATAGTTTTGAAATGTACCCCTGAAATTTTGAAACAGAGAATGATAGTCTAATATGTTCGACCTATATGTGATGCTAAAAAATATAAATTACATTACTTTTAAATTATTTCAAATTGTCCTAGTTTTTTAAAAATGTGATCAACTTTAAAAAGAAAATGATGAATTATTAAAAATATGATTTCACATGATTAAATACTATCAAAAAGTTGGTTTACCTGTTACCATACTTAATTTTAAGTGGAAACACTTGTTAATTACTGAGACTGTTCAGCAAAAAATTTATCCCAGAAAGTTTAGTGATAAGTCATTTCAACTATGTCGTGTGTTACCATAATTATACAGAGACAAGTGGTCCTTGGGTTGATCTTTCAATTCCTATTTTAGATATCTTTAATAATTTCAAAAATCTGACACAAGCTTAAGTGTTTTTATCCACAAAAAAAATTATGAGCATCATAATACTGATTTTAAACTTTTTCACTGATCAGGTTTAAAGCTCAATAATCATGTTGGTTGTGGTGTTGTCATAGAAAATTTTACCATATGTGAACAGTTGCATCACAACTCTTCAGTTTTTACCGCAGATTATTTTGCTAAGGCTTAATTTTATTTCTTTCCAAACTTACCGCAAGTGGATATTTTATACTAACTTGTGCATTTTTATATCAAATGTTCCTCACATCAGGCAAAAACCCATGATATCAGTATCCTAAGTTGCTTTACAGAATTATGTAGCGAAGGATTCAATATTTACTTTTGCTGAATACCATCTCAGCATGCCTTACTGAAACTAGAAAATAAGTGAAGTACAAAATTTATTTTTGATAGAATTAATTAAATTGAAGAGCCTTGATGTCTTTTACTTCAATTCCTGTAAGAAGTAATGCGGGACTATAATTCAAATTCTTGCCAAAGACTTAAGATACTAATTATTCTGATCGTTTAGTTTCTTAATACTGCTAAGATTATTTGTATGGTTTATCTTTGAATGTGATTTTCTTTTAAATGATATACTTTAAATGCGGAAACATTTCTGTCGATTTTAATATTTTATCTATCATAATCTTTAGGGCAATAACATTAACAGAAAAACACGCAATAACAAAACATAAAAAATCTAAACATTATTAATTCCATTATCTTATATACATAGGTATATTTTCACTGTTTTGATTTACAATAAATTTACAAGTATTAGCTTGTATTTTAGTTTCCTTATATACACAAGACTATTTATTTTGGGGTTATAGGTTTGTCTTCTAGGGTTACTGGGAAAATGACAATATTTTTTTTTAGCAATCTAACATCAATAATAGAAATATTTACATTGTTGTCATTCAGTATCATTTATGTTACAAAATAAATTGCAATCTTCTAGTTAACTAAATGATCTGTACAAAATTGCAACAATGGAAAAACTCTAAAATATATCTAGAAATTGTATAAGTTATGTGTTAAAAGGTTACATTTGGTTCGTAAATTTAGATCCAGAATGTTTAGTGCTACAGTACTCTTGAACTATAAGAAAATATAGTAGTTATTGGTTATTGGAACCTTAAAGCCTAAGCTATGCAGCATGTAAAAACTGCCTTTTTTTTCATTGGGGATTTAAAAAAAATTTTTGGTCAAAATAAAAAAATATATCTTAATGAAAACATATGATACGGTAAAGATGTCAGGATTTTTATTTATTATCTCTTTCTATTACCTTAAAGTAAAAACTANTCTTGACAAATGGGATTGATTGAACTTCATCTACTTGTGTAATTAAATTTGTACTATTGCTGAATCTAAATCTGCTCTAGTTTGCTTCCCCCACCGTAAACTATTGTCATGCTGGCCAAAGTTAAATCTAGATTATTTTTTAAACAACGAAGTGAAAAATGAAGATATGAATGGTTTCAGGTTGTTCAGTAATATTTGTAACAAAAATATTCAAGGTTGTTATTTTCGTTTTGTTTGCTAAAGTAAAACAATTTTAGGAAAAATAATCAAATGATTGATTTACAGGCTATTATCAAGGAGAGGTAAATTTTGGTGTCAGTGAACTATAAATTTCTAAAAGTTTGGTTAACAATGCTAGACAGTATTATTTGGAAAAATAAATAGGTTCAGTCTTTTTAGAGTGACACCCCTGCTCGTATGCACAGTAGTTAGTCATTTCTTCAAATAAAAAATGGATATGTTATTGAAACTTTAAATATTTTATATTACAATATATTTTAATGAATGGAATTTTAATACTCATTCTCATTATTAAATATAACATTAATTCATACACCACTTGAATCAATAAGTAATGCATTATATATTTATTGAATCTTTTAATACCTTCTATAACTTAAACTGTGAACAGAACATCAGCTGTTAGCTAAATAAACTAAGGAGGTTTTAGCATCGTAAAAAGAATACAGTATTGTGTATGAGGGATTCAAGCGTGCAAGAAAAAAAAAGTATAATCTTTCTTAAAACAAAATAACTTCAACTATAAAAATTATTAAATACTTAACAGAAAATTTGTTACATTGGCAATCACTTTCATTAAAGGTGTTTCAAAATAGAGCTAAGGAAAAAATTTTCTTAGGAAAGGTTGATTAAATTTTTTTATTGCATTACTTTGAAATCAGCAAGTAGCTAAATCCACTTAAATTTGCTTATACTTTTATACAATAAATATTGGTGGTGTCCTTCACCATTTCTAGTATTCCTCAGGGGCACACTTAGGTGTGACGGGTATGGCGCACCCGAGGTTCCCCGAGCTAAACGCTGTCTCATATTGACGAAACTACAAAGATAATGTTATTAATATAATTTCTAAAACTTCATGAAAAGACTGTGTCATTTAAAAAATTGAGAAGTTATACTTGTGACTGATGTTACAAGGACATATCTTACTGTTATTTAAATTTTGATATCTTAACATGTCTATAACATTATGCTTGTAATTGACATAAAATAATTCCTTCTGAGAAGCCTTCAAGTTCAAACTCAACATCCTAACTACTTAAGTTAAATATTTTAAAAATAAACATTTTGACTGTTGTCATAGCTTAAATTATATTTGGCAGAATTTTTTCCAGTTCTAGTACGTGATCAAAACCAAATCTCTACTCTCACTGATCTTGTAGTCCAATATTACTACTAAACTAAACTTTTGGTTGCAACGTCTTTTTAGTTAAGCACACACATGTTAAATTATTCGCAACATGTGCACTATGTCTAAAAATATTGTTTTACGGGTACTGAACACATTAAAAAACTGCTAAAGACACAAAATTCTAAATTGAAAAGTTCTCAGCAAGGTTACAATTTCAAAATGTCAGGGTTCTCAAATCGTTGGCATTGTTAGTAGATTATTTAAACCTGGCTAATATTAGGCTTGTCATCTGTTGGCTAGGGTCAAGTCTGGGGTCAACCTCGTTTAGGGTGACTCGCGGACGATGTACTAAAATCTGCTCTTTTGAGGTAACTGTTACCCCGCATAAATCACTTAACACTTCTGCGGAAGACATGATAAGAGAAAGCCTGCAAAATCAGCATGTTGTAGAGGTCCGTAGGATAAGGATTCGCAGGGACGAGAAACTCGTACCCACGAAACTTCTTATCCACATGTTTGCCACCCCGTCCGGGTATGTCCTATTCCATGGCAGCTAAGATTTCATATTGTTCAGTGACTGCGCATTCTCTGACGTATGTGGCAGTGAAGTTTGGCAGCGATCCTGGGAGGCATGAGTAGCTGAATGGGCAAGACCGACTTCCTCTTTAATGATTCTAGGATCAATGGACTAGGCTCTTCGCTCCTTTCTTCAATGTCCGTGTCCAACTGACTGCTGGCTTCATCAAAAGATATACCTTGTGCCACCCTATCTATGAATCTTGTGGCCAAGTTTATCATTTGTTCTTGAGGTGCCGATCGATCCTACGAAGCATGAGTAGGTAATGTATCGAGAACGACTTCCTCTTCAAGGGAAAAAGTCTTATTTAATGATTTATAGATTCGATTAAATAGGCTCTTCGCTCCTTTCTTTAATGTCCGTGTCCAATTGACTCCTGGCTTCATCAAAAGATATACCTTGTGCCACCCTATCTATTCAAGGCAATTTACCAAGTCTCCTGCATTCGAAAAGAGCACTTTGATATGTATGGCAAACCCTGTGTAAATAAAAGTTTTTGTCCAGCACTGAAACCTTTTCCAATTATTCTAAGACCAAGAACAATAAGTTTATTGATGCAGCTATTGTTTTTTACTTTTTGTGTACTAGTAAATATCTTTACAGAGTCACATGACTGGCAATGTAAACTGAAGTTTGAACATAATCCGTATCTCGATTCCTCTGTTAGTGTCAGTCCTACATGAAGGACAGCGAAGTGTAGAGAAAATGGTAATTAATATAGATAAATCGATAATCCTATTTCCTGTCAAA